CTGGTGCTATCATAAAATGAGTCTAACAATATATCTTTAAGCAATATCGCCCAGCCCTAGCTAATATATAGAGTCATTGTTTGAAGTAAATTCCATCAACACGTTCATAAACGGCAAATAATTGTGCAAAGTGTGATATTTTCAAATTAAAAGATAGCAGCTCTTGTAATTAGATAAGGGGTTATTTTGAATGTGTGGAAAACATTTGAGTCATGTTGACATTGAAATCACATTTAAATTTATAAAAAAAAACAAATACAAATAAGACTAAAAGACAATAACTAGCTTATACTTTTCTTGACGCAGAAGAAAAAACAAATGAAAAAAATTCAAACCAAAGCTTTAAATGATAAAACAAAAGGTTGGGGTGTAAAGTTGGACATGATTTAAAGGAAAAGGATTAGGATTAGGGCCATTGAAAAAAAGGAGTCCACTAAAAAAGTAATTCAGATTTTGATCTCAGAATTCTTATTTTTTTTTACCTTTTTTCTCACAGAATTCTCACTTCTTCCTAAGAACTTCACCATTTTTTCTTAGATTTCTCTTTATTTTTTTCTCTTAATTTTACTTTTCCAATGGCGCTAATTCTCTTCCGTAAACATCACATTTTAAAATATTTCTCTTTAAGAAATGGTCCATCCAATTGAAATACATATTTTGGAAACAGCACTGCTGTTGACAATCCCACATTCAACAGCTGCTTTCCCAACACTGACAGTAAAACTTCAGTGTCACGTTCTGCGGGTTGGATGTCACAAAATGGACGTTTCCCCATCACAACCCAGAGATGTTCAAAAGACGTTTTTCTGAAGACAACAGTGACAGAGAGATTGTATCGGTCGCTGCGGCGTCCCGTCTATCTGGCTTCACCAAGCTGTCCAAATCTTATCCCAACATACAGCTAAAATGCCTCTCATTTAACACAACAACGTATATAAGGAGCCATTTTATTTGTGAACTGGAAGAAACTGCATCCTCTATGTCTCGTTCTTGCAAAGTGAGAAAAACGTGTAACAAGCTGAAATAGAAATAGATAGTAGACAGCAGTAGCCTCATGCTTGATGAAATTGGGACTATGGAATGCAGAAAAGATAAACTAAGGAAAAAAGCTAGATATGAGGAAAAGTCAGAAGCCCGGCACCTGGTAACCCCTTCATAACCTGCCTCCATACCTGTTGTTCTGCATGTGGGCTGAATTGTATCCCAACAGAAGCAGGTTCTCATAAAGTTTTATCTTCTTCTCATGAGGGAGTGAGTTTGCTGCTGTATTGCTTTCCAGGGATTGAAATAAATGTTTGGGGTTATAGAATTATACCTAGGGGGAGTGGTGGTCTAGTGATTAGTACGGAGCCCCTCTGATGACATGGTCAAAAAAAAATTTTAATTGTGGCCACGAGGTAGTATTTCNAAGTAAATTCCATCAACACGTTCATAAACGGCAAATAATTGTGCAAAGTGTGATATTTTCAAATTAAAAGATAGCAGCTCTTGTAATTAGATAAGGGGTTATTTTGAATGTGTGGAAAACATTTGAGTCATGTTGACATTGAAATCACATTTAAATTTATAAAAAAAAACAAATACAAATAAGACTAAAAGACAATAACTAGCTTATACTTTTCTTGACGCAGAAGAAAAAACAAATGAAAAAAATTCAAACCAAAGCTTTAAATGATAAAACAGAGGGTCGGGGTGTAAAGTTGGACATGATTTAAAGGAAAAGGATTAGGATTAGGGCCATTGAAAAAAAGGAGCCCACTAAAAAAGTCAAAATTCAGATTTTGATCTCAGAATTCTTTTTTTTTTTTTACCTTTTTACCCACAGAATTCTTACTTCTTCCTAAGAACTTCACCGTTTTTTTCTTAGATTTCTCTTTATTTTTTTCTCTTAATTTTACTTTTTTCTCAGAATTGAAACTTATTTTCCAATGGCGCTAATTCTCTTCCGTAAACATCACATTTTAAAATATTTCTCTTTTAGAAATGGTCCATCCAATTGAAATACATATTTTGGAAACAGCACTGCTGTTGACAATCCCACATTCAACAGCTGCTTTCCCAACACTGACAGTAAAACTTCAGTGTCACGTTCTGCGGGTTGGATGTCACAAAATGGACGTTTCCCCATCACAACCCAGAGATGTTCAAAAGACGTTTTTCTGAAGACAACAGTGACAGAGAGATTGTATCGGTCCCGTCTATCTGGCTTCACCAAGCTGTCCAAATCTTATCCCAACATACAGCTAAAATGCCTCTCATTTAACACAACAACGTATATAAGGAGCCATTTTATTTGTGAACTGGAAGAAACTGCATCCTCTATGTCTCGTTCTCGCAAAGTTGACAGAAACAGCTGGAAAAGGTGTAACAAGCTGAAATAGAAATAGATAGTAGACAGCAGTAGCCTCATGCTTGATGAAATTGGGACTATGGAATGCAGAAAAGATAAACTAAGGAAAAAAGCTAGATATGAGGAAAAGTCAGAAGCCCGGCACCTGGTAACCCCTTCATAACCTGCCTCCATACCTGTTGTTCTGCATGTGGGCTGAATTGTATCCCAACAGAAGCAGGTTCTCATAAAGTTTTATCTTCTTCTCATGAGGGAGTGAGTTTGCTGCTGTATTGCTTTCCAGGGATTGAAATAAATGTTTGGGGTTATAGAATTATACCTAGGGGGAGTGGTGGTCTAGTGATTAGTACGGAGCCCCTCTGATGACATGGTCAAAAAAAAATTTTAATTGTGGCCACGAAGTAGTATTTCATGCGCACGAAGTAGTATTTCGTGGCCACGCAATAAGTATAACGTGCGCACGAAATACTACTTCGTGTCCACAATTAAACATTTTTTTTGACCATGTCATCAGAGGGGCTCCGTAGATTAGGGCATGTTGTGTTCCAGAGGTTCTTAGATCAATCCCCACTCCCACAGACTGCCACTTTGGGTCCCCGAGCAAGACCCTTAACCCACACTGCTCCCAAAGGGGATGGGTTAAATGCAGAAAGTTAATTCCGTTGCTCTGTACTTGTCACAGTGTAATGAAAACAAAGTAAATTTCTATTCTAAATATAATAAAGGTTTAAGATAAGCTTTAATAGAACACATTAGAATATCCATCAGCCAATCAGACGAGGGCATAATGAAAACAAGCAGCTGCATATTTTGCTTTTTTTTTTTTTTTTTACCTCTTGTATTATGAGAGTTATAACCAAATAGTAATAACTGCTCCCCAAAAGAATGGGTCAAGATAAAGGAAACAAATTCCCCCGTTGTGGAACAATAAAGGAATTTTTTTTTTATCACTTATCTTTAGACTGACTTTAAGTGCTTGTTAACATCCCAAGACGCAACAGATGAGGGTCTTGATTTATGGAAATTTACCAATATTAAATTGGTAAATCAGCGTTATAATTTCTTTTTTTTGCAAAGTGATGAGTTCCCCTCATGGACACAAATAGCCATGAACTCCAGTCATCTCTGGACTGGAGGTTATCTCTGTTCACCTCCATCAGAACAACTCCTGAGCATCACATCCGCCTCCTACACACAACCATCCCTATTAGCACCATCCGCTTTCATGGCCAATGTCCAGCGTGTCCATATCTGCTGTTGTTTATGTAATTTGTCATCATGGTCTTCAAAGTCTCCCAGTGGTGGTTCTAGACCAAATTAACCAGGGAGGTCAGGGTGGGGTCGATGCTTTTTAATGGAGGAACCGAACAAAATAACTAAAAACTGAAAAAGTTAAAAGTTCATTATTTGACATACAAAGTGAACCAAAGAGACATCTGCAGCTCTGGAGACCTCGGATCTTGCAGAAAAAAAAACTATCAGTTCAATATGATTGAAGCTAAAAGTGCAACAACTTCATTTGCAAAACATAAATAAAATAAAACTGTAAAACTAAAAATATTAAATAGTCCAAGAAACCTATCGGTTCTGGCTCTGATGCATATCATAATGTATTCATCATTAACATATTCTCTATTTTATATTTGGTTCAGGGGACACAACAGTAGCAATTATCAGCTCTACAGGGACATTGGCCCCTGTTGGCCCCTGGGATCACCCATGACTCCCCCCAACTGTTCCAGGGGAAGCTTAAGATTTCAGAATTCTCAAAAGCAAATATGAGACGCGTTTCCTATCCCTGAAAGCCACAGACTGAACCAGGGTGCAGAAGCAGAAGCAGCCGCAGCGAAGTCCAACCCGCAGTGGAGTCTGAGGAGTTCAGCCCAGACTGGGACTAACTTTAGGTTCAGACTGCGTGAAACAACCAGTATGCACTTCCAGTTCAATCAGCAAAGAATATCAGAAGCACTCAGCTTTAAGCTGGTCTCTGACCTTTCACCTCCACCTTAACAACACCAGAGCATCACACCTTCCTCCTACGCACCAGCACCTCCATCCATCCTCTTCTCCATCATCCAGCCTACAAACTTCCAGCATGTCCAAATCTGCTGCTGCTTATGTAACCATGCAGAGGATTTAGCAAGCAGAGAGCATGATGGCTGGACTGGGAGGCTCAGCTGAACGCATCACTGCTCTCCAGTTTAATCAGAGTGGAAGGAGCCTGGGTGGGATTCAAGCTTTCTGTGGGGGCCATTTGTCAATCTGTGGAAGGGATGGCAGCTCTGGATTGTTCAGCAGAAATCCTGCAGCTGACTCAGCGCTGCTTCCAGACAATCAATGGACATTTAATATCAAAGCTGGCCGCTTGGAGCCGTTTTAACGCGCAGTCTGCCACAGACTGTGGCCATGCTGCAATACAGCGGTTTGACACGCTGTGCGTGGATTTTCCTCCACGCTCACACCTCCTGACAGCAAAGCAATGCAGATTAAATGAGGACGGATCCAGATGCGCTCAGTTCAGACATGCAGAACCGTTTTTTTTTTTTTTTTTCTTTGCTCCAAACTGACTCCTGTCAGCGATCGGCAGGAACGTCCCTGAAAAAAACAAAAACGGACTAAATGAATCCTGATCCATTCCAGCTTTTCTTACCAGAAACAGAGATCCAGCAGGCGCTCCAGTCCTCTGGTTCTGCTCAGGGTTCGGTTCGGTTCCTGCTCGGCTCGGTGATCCAAACACAGCGGACCTCCGCGGCTCTATGCGCGAAGCTCAGGCGGCTTCAGCTTGACGTTGGAAGTCAGCCCACTGCTTCCTGTTACATCACCGTGGAGTGGAGTGGAGTGGAGAACCCACAGCTGAGGAGCTGCAAGCAGAGTGGACACTTTCACCCACCCACTCCCACGCTCTCTACATTGGCTTATTCTGGGCGGATTTCCATACAGAGAGGCCGTTTGATGCAGAAACATGAGCTGCCTGCAGAGCAGATGTTTGGGCTGACCCAGAGCAAAGGGTCTGGACAAAAGTCTTCAAAAAGTGCTTCCTTGCTCATTTTAAATAATTTTACTTACAGAAACGCATCACATACTTTATTCATTGAAAACTTTAGAAAATATGTCTTATTACATGAACAAAATGGTGAAAAATCATAGTGAAAGCCTAAAACTGGACCTGCAGAGATCACAGTCTGGGTCTCAAGAGGTCATGAAGTGAATCTGGGAGGATTTCAATGTTTTCTTGCACAGGATAAACCTCATCAGAGGTCACTGCTGGCCTGCAAACATCCTTCTACATGAGAAATCATTTCTGATGTCTTGTTTTCACTCCAGACACTATTTCATATTAACAGCTATTAGCAGCCAATGCTGCAGGCCCTTTTAGAGTATAAAAAATGCAATTTTTTGGCCCCGATACCGATATCCGATACGTTGCTGTGCAGTATTGGCTGATACCGATACTGATACCATCGGTTTAGTGATGGTGAGATGAAGCCTCATGAGGCATTTGAACATTTGGCCAAATTGCTTGAAATTATCCCCACATTTCATGAAGCCTCGTGTGAACATGTCACCACCTACTGGTGAAGTGCAGAACTACAGATGGTAATATAATCTGTGATTTTTTGCAATATTTTTTTTTCTTGTTTTTTTGTTGTTTTTTTCCCCATATAAGTTCATTTGAAATTGTTAATGTTTGGTCTGTATAATAAAATCTTTAGTACGGTTTTTTTTTGTGAGTAAAATGTCTTGGAAGAGAAAAATCATTTCAGGTACACAGTTTTTCTGCCATTTTAGTAAAATAAGCTCAATCAGACAGTTAAAGTCTGTGCAATGATGAGAAGAAGAAAGGTGTTAGTCTTTTTTTTATTTAAACATAATAGTTTTTCCACAGTTTTTGGTTTGAATCGGGTTGGAAGTTATGTCTTTAACCAATCTTTTGGTTAAACCCACCAACCTATATTTATACTAGGGCAACCAATACAAATTAGTCACATTATCGAAAATACTTGTGTTTTATCGCAACTTTTAAAACTATGAGGTGGATCTTGAACCATCAACCCACAGACTTGAAGTCAATTTCTCAAGTAAGTCAAATACTTATAGAAAGAAATACTACTTTGAACCCATAACATCTATGATTAGTGACTTGCCCAGATTTTGATTATTACATTGTCTAATTTAACCAAACTAGTTTTAACCAACTAGATTGGTTGAAAAAACAAACTCTAAACACTCTATCCAACTCTCCTACAAACTCCCACATCTTGACTAAACACAGAGACTGTTTAAATGCCGCAGAAGTTCCAGGCTACCTGAACCACTTCCCAAAGCGGTCACAGGGTATGGCGTGTAGCGAGGCTTCCGACGTCATCTATTTTGGCTCCTCACGCCTCGCGGAAACACCCCCTCCATTATTCGAAACACACCTCGAAGCTTCAGCTCATCTCAAAACATCACTACATCTGTTAGAAATTGATGTGTGGGTGTATATATGAAGAACTGCATAATACTTGGACGTAAAATAATTGCCATCATGGCTTGGTCAAGCTGCTGCCTACCTTTGTGAAGCAGGAAGAAGAATAATACAAAGTGAATCCATTATTGCCTACCTGGAATGGGTGACAATATATAATAATAATAATATAAATGGATCGGGGCCCCGACCGATACTGGTTTCGGTATCAGTGCAACACTAATAAGAACTTTTGAAACAATCCCTTTTACAATCACATTTTATTCCCATTTCAACAACTAAAAACTTGTTAAAGTTAAATGCTTTAACATTTTTTTTTTTTTTTACAGTAGGTTTTGGGGCGTAGGCTGATGGAGGTGTTTAATGAATGACTTCCTGTATATTTTGATTCCTAATTTGGTAGTCACCAGCACATCCAGCAGAGAACAGACCAGAACTAACTAATTCCTTCTTATCCAGGGACACTTTGGGATCCCAGACAATGAGATGGGAAGAACTGGTAAGTTTGGGTTTAACCTCTGACCTCTGCAAACTACTGCGATAAGAAAAAGATGGAAAATGGATCCAAAATGTGGAAACAAAATACATGTGGATGCTGCTAGTTTCTAAATTACTTGAATCCTGATGGGATGAGAACAACTGCAAAAATATTTAGAAACAGAAAAAAATACACTGTTGATTCAAACCAGTTTAAACCCAGTGAACCAACTTCTTGCATTGTTACATAGAAGCATATGTTGTAATTGGAAATGTTCCTCAGACCCTTGAAGAGTTTACTAAGGAGATTAACTAGCTGCTTTGATTCAAGACAATACTTTGCTTTTTTAGAACAGCTGTTGAAAGTTAGGGGCCTTTTACTTGACAAAACAAATTAATCAGAATTTATTAATATTACTCGTTTTATTTTCAAGCATTTAATTTTTTAAACTAGTGAATCCCAGAAGGTTTTGAGCAAAGTCAAACATTACCAGCTGTTGCATTCAACCTGTAACCGCTGTTAATGACCTTAAATGGTTTAAAGTAGGTGAGAAATCGTAGCTTCCACCTCAGAAAATTACTTTACGTAACAGATTAATGTTAGTTCAGGTTAATAAGCATTAAATGGCAAATCGGTGTTTATGGAGCAGTTTTCAGCATCTGTTAACAACCTAAATATGTTTTTGTTTGATAGATTAAAAAGTATTAGAATTCTTCAGCATAATATCCTGCAGCAACTCTTTTATTGTCTACAAATGATCTGTAATCTGCTTTAATTTATGTTTTAGACAACGGTTCAATGAACAAGGCTCCATCGATCACTATGTTACAGTAATAGCCTGGTCATACACTTTATAAAATGGAAAAACAAAATAAAATGAAGGAAAACAGATTTTTTTTATTGTCTATAAGTTATAGACATAAAACAATTCTGACATATGAGGCAGTGTAAACTATAACACCTCACATGTGAGACTAGAAGCAGTTACACTGACTTTCTTAACCACACACTGCCCCCTTGTGGTGATTAATCAAACCACAAAATAACAACAAAGCAGTTTTTAAAGTACGGTATTTTTGTTTGAGTTTATTTCAGTAAATTTTTCATTTACAGTAAGTAGACAAAAAAAAAAAAAAAACAATCAGTAAATATGAAATAGAGGAGAATATTTCAACAAATTATAGAACAAATATCCGCTTCAGCTTTGAAGCTTTGTACCAAATTGCTGTAAAAATAAGGAAATACCTGCAAAGCAAAAAAGAAAACAACAAAAACACACCTACACTGAAATGATATGAAGGATTAGGCCTCTATAGAAGCAGAGCACTGGAGCAGTTTTCAATAAAGATCTAAAATCAAGAAGCCCAAACCTATTTGTATTAAATATCTATTTTTTTTTGTTTGTTTTTTTTTTTTTTGTACGTTAAGTGATTCAGGGGTGGAAAATGCAAAGAAAAAAAAAGTTTTCTTTTCTTCGCTTAATATGACTTTTCAAGAACCCCTAGAGTTCATCTAATTATCAACTGCAAAATATTTTCCATATATTACCACAAAAATGAATCCTTTTTTCAAATAATCTCAAGTATTATTGATAACAGTTCAGACTTCCATACATTCGCTGTTTCAATTAATACATTTTTTTGTATTCCTGTAATCTTTTATAAAAACCTTGTTTATTATTGCAGATAAACATAGTGGCGTACTTCTTTTTTCAGGTTATAATTTAGAGTTTAAAATCTTTCAGAGATTGTGTTTAAAACTACATACACAACACTAAAAAGTGAAATTATTCATTGTAAAGAGCCTGAGGAAAGATTTTAAAAATGGAAGATCAGATCAGAATTGAAACAAAATGTGTCTTAAAGCTGTGTTGTTTCAGTTGTGGAGAAAAATAAAGAAGCTCTGCTGGTTTGCTGCAAATACATAATAAAAACGATCAAAGGCAGAAGTGGCTTCAGGTTTAAAATGAGCTAAGGTTTTAAAGAAGTAAGACTCTAGACCTGTTTGCATATTTCTATCTTGTTTCTAAAAACAAGTCACTTGCAAAAGTAAAACCACCTCCTATAACTTCCTTTATCCTCCTAAATAGACAGATTCTCCTCTGATCTGTTAGAGGTCTTTGAGCTCATTCAAACCTTTCTTTGTGCCTTTTTACTCTGTTCTTATACAGCGAGCAATCTCCCACCAGGATCACTGTTATTATTTCTGTATTAGATTGGTTGAATTAAATTGACAGGCTACTGGTAGGATGATATAAGACTGAATAAAAAATGCAGCCAAAGCAACAGAAGACCTTCAGGAACCCTGCTTAGAATTTGATGAAGATGATTAATGATTATAGCAAAGCCTGGCTGCTTTGGAAGGAGGACATAAGGAGTTTTGCACAGTATTGTCCAGTGGAGTCCAATTAATCAATACATTTTGGGAGAAAAACAACAAAGAATCAAAGGAAAAAAAAGGTATTAAAATGAACATTTCAATATGTGTGATTGAAATCTATCCTTTTTAGTAGGAGACTTTTAGCAGAAACCACGTGATGAAGACTTGAATGCTGTGAACATTTCAAAATGGCCGCAAAAACTATAATACAGAGATAAATACAAATTCCTCCTGGCTACTGGAGCTCCACAGGGCTGAGTGTTCGGATCGAGCGGTTCAGAACTCTGTTGATATTTTTCTTCCTTATTGGGATCATCCAACTCCTGCGACCTGCGGCAAAATCAAGTGAGAGAACACAATGAAAATTAAGAAAAGAGGATGAACATCTGCTTCAGAAGAAACAAACTCGCTCTTTACCCTTTTTGCCCCTGATGCACTTGTGGTAGCAGTGTTTACGGCTATGGAAGTTGTTGTGGTTTCCTCCACAGCCGCTGTAGACAAACATCTGGCATCTCTTGGTTTCTGGGTTATATGCATATCTCTTGAGAGCGAGGCTGCATGTTCCTGTGTCGATGGGACTGAAGCAGATGTCCGAAGTGCTAAAGTCTAGATTAAAAAAAAATAAATAAATAAGGAGAGACAGATTTACAGCACCTTCACTGAGGCCAACATAAAGATGTGTGATAGCATTTAAATAAAATCTGATTTTATTACAGGACCATAAATATATAGACACCTCTTTTTAGTGTTATGAAATGCATTTTTGACTAATATATTTCATAAAAGGATTTCTTTTAAATGTAACCGTTTATGGATTTATCAGATTGTCTTTAATGTTGATAGTTAAATTCTTTCTTTGATGTATACCATAGGGAAAATGAAGCATATATCTCTTAGCTACCTCTAAAGGCAAGGCAAGGCAAGGCAAATTTATTTGTATAGAACAATTCAGTACAAAGACAATGCAAAGTGCTTTACATGATTAAAATACAGGAAAATAAAACTGAATCAAAGCAAGTAGGAAAAAATAGAAAAATAAATAAAATAAAATAAAAAATGCAGAAACAAAAAAAGAATATTAAAAACAGTTGGACTGAAGAAAATAAAAAAGTTGAACTAATGATCAATGACTAATGGGAAATAATTGTTAACATGCCATTTAGGTTTAACAGATGTTAGTCTTTTTGGTTCAGGAAACGGATGCAACATGATTACTGACTTGTTCTTTCCTTCCAAACACATTGAGTTTAATCTACTCAACTGGAATGGTAACTAACTTATAACTGTGTTCAGAGAACAATAAGACTAAGCACTTTATGTCAAGTGTTAGTTATATTTCAAAAATTCCCTTAAAAATAAGCTTAGAGTTAGATTGGCTCAAGTTTTCCTAAGCTATCTCTATAGTTATGCTGTTGTAGGCTTAGGCTGCTGGAAGACATAGGGGCCACGTTTCCTCACTCTGAAACATTCTATTTCTATTCCCCAGTTCTGCATTATTTATTACTGAAACCTTTAACTTCTCTCACTTTTTCTTTTCATAGTAGCCTCGTCTGTCATGTAGCTGGGATCAGCTGAGCTTCTGCTGCCAAAAACTTCAATTAGGGACGATAGACCTATTTTTAAGTCCTTAGGAACTACTAGTTTACTGTTATTTTTTCTAATATGGAAAGTATTTATGGATCAGTGCTTGCATTTTTTGTATGTCTGGTTCTGTCTCCTTGAACCTCCAGTTAGATGTGGCAGAAGGCCACTCACACTGAGCCTGGTTCTGCTGGAGATTTCTTTCTTTTAAAAGGGAGTTTTTCCTCTTTCCTCCCTGCTTAAATCGTCTAAGAAACAGAGTGGATTGATCTGACATACGAATATGTGCTATAATAAAAAGTAGTGAAAGAATTTTTTTTTTTTTAATCTTCAAAACGAATGCTAATACTAATAGTGGGTATTTCAAAATGATTTAGCAAACATGAAGATGTATATATATAGAAGTAGGAAAATCTTCTATAAAGCAGATAAAGCAATACCGGTAGATTGATTCCTGAATGCTTCTTATAAGCTGACAGAAAAGATTTACTCCCGCCTCTGCAGGCTATCACATTTTAACAAGATCTTGACCTTGTATTTCCTATGAAAAAATGTAAGCTGTCAACTCTGACAACACCTGTCTTCCCTATCCAATACACCAGTCAAAGGTAGTAACATCATACATATACATGTCCAAGAAACACCCATTGAGTATGATGTACACTCAACCATCTGAAATGGATACTATAAATGCTTTTTAATTCCAAAATAAAGCAATATTTGGTGACTTATATAAAAATAACTGAATATTACTACATTTTCAATTTCTTTGACAAGACTCCCTAATTTGTAAATAATTTAAAATGGACAATACAAATATGGTTTATATTTAATTTTCGAAAGGTGTCCCTGCAAAAAATTGACCAAATTTAATTAAAAAACATGAAAATTATCAACATTTGAAAATTATAATTTAATAATAGAAATGCTTTTTCATTTAAAAGTTACAGCTGCCTTTTTTTTTTACCCTTAAATAAAATTTATACAAAAAGAAAACATTGTTTTCACTTTCATTGCCAAGACTGTTAATTCGTTGCTTAATTCAAATGAATAAGAAGGGGATGTTTAACATTTAATTTTCAACATATATCCAAGGACATTTTTTTTTAAATTAATTTTGAGATGTCAGATTCATGAGCAGAAACACCCTTTTTTATTTCAGAGTAAAAGCTGCATTTTAGAACTGATAAATAGAACCCTTTTCAATTTTTTTTCCAAGGCTGAATTTTTGTATTAAACTATTTAAATGATATATAATGTTTAACTTTTCGTTTTCAAAAGATGTCCCAGCAAAAATTGACCTAAATTCATTTAAGAAAAGCTTTTTCAATTGAAAGTCAAAGCTGCATCGTTAATTATGAAGGAAATTGCTAATTGTTTTCATTTTGTTTTTCAGGACTCCTCATTGTGAAACAAAACTAGGTTCAGTTTGCTACTTGCCTGTTTAAGCAAATTTTTATTCTCACTGTTCGAGATAACAAAGATCTTTTGTTTAAAAGACCAAATAAAAGCCAGTTTTAGGAACCATATAGATGGACTTTATTATTCTTTATTATATTATATTCTTTTAAAACTGATAATTTATTTTTATTTTACTCCTAATTTAACAAAAAAATATATATATTTAGGTTTTCAAGAAATATTTGCTGACCTGATAAATCCTTTTTATGTGTTTTTTTCTCTGGGATCTGAGTCCACTCTGATCTGTTCTGGTGAACAGTGACGTCTCTTATGTCGGCTGTTAATCTTTCCTCCTCCTCCAGAGTTACAGTTGGCCTCTTTGTTACCTCTCTGATTGATGTTCCTTTGCCTGAACCACGAGTCTTAGTTCTCAGTAGACTGACAGCTTTGTTGTTGTGAAATATAACTCCCCATTGTATGAAACAGCTCAGCTTCATGGGATGAGGAGTTTTTTTCTCTCTCTTTTTAGTGGTTTATCACTGCTATCACTGCTTTAAGACTGTATTTCTCCAGAACCTTACCACTGACCTTCTTGGAGACTTGGATGTTCTTTACTTCTTGCTTGTTTCTATGGTTGTTGGGGTTTTTGATTCGTTAGGTTTTAGGACATAAGCAATAAGTGAGTCATTTTGAATCTTCTAAAGGGAATTAAAAGCAAAGGAAACTGATTTAGAACGAGAAAAAGGTTATTTACACTTAATAAAGTGCTATATACTGAAACTACAGGTCATTTACCATTTACAGTATTCTAGAACCTATAACTGCACCCTTCATCTCAATGAGAAATAGAAAAATGAGTCAGTTTAGAAAAAAGTCTTTTAAGGACCACTCAATTTTTTCTCTATGCAAAAGGTGCAGAGATATTGGAAAGGAGGAGATTAGAACTTAAAGATATTGGCTGGACTCAATTAAGGCAAAATATAACTATAATAGAGTTTAAACTTGTATGAACTGATATAAAAAACCAATGCTTAACAACATTCTGAATTTCAAAGTGTCTGGTCAAACCTCACTACAGTTTTTCTGCTCTATTTACATTGCAGTGTCCATATAAACTGTAAAACTGCATAATTATAATAAAGCAATTTATATGCATGAAACAAGTGGAGCAATATGGCAATTGCCATACTGCTACACTTGTGAAAGTAAAATCTGTTGGGCTCTTTTTGGCATCAAGACAATTATTCTTATTGCCACATTGCCAGACAGGACACTGTTAAAAAAATAAAATAAAAAAATCCTCACTACAGTTTGGCGTTATCTGTCTAAAACACAATATCACATTATTCGATGCAGCATTGCAAACTCAGCTCATGCTGCCATGTTGTTTTCTCCTTCAGTCCTTCCAAACAGCCATTCTGGTTCAGTGCTTTTTGTCACTGTCCTTTCATTCCCCTTAATTCCTCTGCTAGCCGAGGCCTGCAGGGTCATTTCTCTAAGCTTCACACTCAGATCTTGGGTGTAATCTGCAGCGAGGGTGTCTCCTGGGAAAACCAGCAGCTGTCTAAGATGTTTTCCATTTGGTAATAACCTGTCCCTCTGCAAAGTGAAGTAACTCAGATGGGAAATGACCATACAGCAGTAACGATTTCTCCCCATTTAGCCACAAGATGTCACTCTTTATCCTCTAAATGAATGAATGGAAATCTTATCGCAAATATTCAGTTTGTTTCAGTTTTTGTCATTTGAAAATACACCATCACTGATTTTAGACTAGAACTTTAAAAAAGCATCTACCACCTTTTTTTTTTGTAAAATACCAGAGATCTCAGCCTGAATGAAGTAATAAACACAAGCTGAAACTGTAGAAGCCAGGTCCACCTGAATCTCACCCTCACAATATTTTTTGACAAGAGTGAAATTGAATTTTTGAGTAATAACTCAGTGTGTTGCAGGAGCCGCAGCCCGTCCCCCTGTGCTCTCCAGCCGCTACGCCAAACAGCTTTGAAAGGTGACAGCAGGGGGAATGTCCTCCGTCTCCCCTAATACCAAGAAAATTAATAAGTGGCTTTTTGTGGAAGATGGGATGTGTGAGGAAGACACTGATGCACTCTATTCCTACTCTGTACTGCCCATACCAGCAGCAGTCCTACTGGCTGTCTACCATCCATGCATCACTGCCCTGTGACGTTTATTTCATTTTTTTTTTTACAACTCTTCAGGCAGCACATGGTTCATTCGTGAGTGAGTGCTCTTCAAGTCAGGTTGGAGCTCATTCCATGATACTGTGAGGAAGTGAGAAATGGAGCTTACACTTTAATGAAATATGTCTCCTGGTAAACCTGATTTTATTTCATGCTGTCTTATCTTCCAGCAGTTAATGTCTGTCATAATCTACATTTTTTAAGTAAAAAATGATGCTGAATAATGATCAACACCGTTACCCTTTGCTGAAAGTTAAACAAATGTTGGCAGATTAAACAGTTTTATAGCATCCCAGAAAACAGGCAAATGTCACCATAAAGGACATTTTTTTAAACCTCTAATTATCTGAGGAACACTTCGTCACAATAAACTTCATGTTTTTAATTTGCCAGAAATTCTTCTATTATTTCCACTCATCCACAGTCACCACTAGGGATGTGCCGATACCAGATTTCTTCAAACCAAGTACGATTACAAGTACTTCAACTTCAGTACTTGCCGATACCGAGTACCGATACCGAGTAATATTAAGTGCCATTAACTCCTCAGAATTAATTTGAAAATTTTTTATTTTCATTTGGCTCAAACAGAAATACTGTTTTATTAGGTTACTTGTGTTGTAACTATTAGGGTTTGTTCCTCCCCTTGAAAACTTTGATTTGCATATTTTGCAAACAGCCTTACTTTTGTCGTCCTCGTTCACTTGGAAATATTCCCAAATCGCGAACATGGCTAACTGGCTAACTCTCTTTTTGTGTTCGCTCCCTCCTTCTTTATACTCTGACTGGCAGGTTCTTGACGTCACACTGCGGTCTTCTTCGCTGCTTGAAATGTATGCTAGTATCCGGCCCTGTAGTATCGGTATACATTTACAGATACAAGTACGAGTACAAACACGTGGTATTGGGCCAGATGCTGATACCAATATCGGCATCGGTGCATCCCTAGTCACCACCATAGGCAGTCGACTATAATTTGTCTGTTTGTAGCTCGGTTCTGCTAATGCAACATTTTTCTACTTCTACTGACACACAAATGGCATAATGTTCATAGGGTTTGCTGGCGAAGCCATCATGCAATGGGCTGTTTCACAGTATTCTGCATTTATTTATAGCTGCATTTATTTACGCACTATATTAACCATACAACATAATAAAACTAAGAACAGTTGGACAGAAAATGTAAAATACAATAGTTCCATATACCCACAATAGTCGGTTTAGTTTAGTTAAGCAGTGACCAAGTGAGTAAAAAAAAAAACCTGCTGATAAATTAACTAGGGGAAAAATAACAGTGCCCATTTTATTCAAGGGGGGCAGCAAAAAATTAAGGGGCCCACTCACCCCCTCCCCTCCCTGATTATAATGTGCTCACTAACAACTTTTCTACACAGTTGTGGTGACTTACATATAGGTAAAATAGTGTAACAGTTCTAACACTAAATAAAAAACATTTATTTCATCAGCAAGAAATACTCAATGGATCATTATTTATACCTAAAACTAATACATTAGTCACAGTGAGGTAAGCCTAGTGCCATTCTCCCCGCTTTACAAGCTAAATCAATGGGAACTACTAAACACATCTGCAAAGAGGACTTCACCATTGAAATTCACCAGAGTTATATTTGAACTGACAATGCCCACGTGCATGGCAGTTGGATGTTGGAATACAAAGTGGAGAAAAAAAAAAGCAATTTCAGCAATTCATGATCCACCACGGGTTCATTGTTGGATTGCCAACTTGAAGAGGGAGGATTTGCCATTGAACTTCTGGCCAGATAAAAAAAACACGTAATATGCAGCCAACTTTTCAAAGAAGAATGTTTTCAAGAGGACTTGGATAATAGCACCTTGTGACAAACACTAGAGACAGCATTGGGACTTGATCAACAACTGATACAGCACTGCGCCACAAACCGGTAGGTGATAGTGTTCTTTGGCATACACGGATGTCTCCGGTAAAGCATATTCAAATGAAATTACTCTTAATTAAAACTCTTATCATTTATTGAACAATATATATTAATTTCATATTTAAAGTACTTTCAGGTGTTTGAATTCTGAATATGCCCGGGCTTCTCCTTTAAAGTCAAAATCTGTAAAATTAACCAGCTTATTTGCCATAAAATGTCCTTATTTTAATGAAGATCTCATTCAGTTTACAGTTCAAATTGTTTACCTTGACAGAACTCCTGTAAGACAGACAAAAACTAAATTAAAGAGATATTTATAAATCTTTTTTAGGACATTGCATAATTCTGTAAAGATTAAAATTAGCATATTTTTTCATTCCATGCGTGTCGTCTAGTCTACCTGTTACATTGCAAGGTTGGTAGTTCATGGATTCAAATAATTCTGTTGCTTAATATAACATATGGAAACTTTTCAATTTTGTTTACCTTTTTTCGAGCATTTAATGCACAACATGGAGGACGTATTATTTTTAGATACTAGGGAATATTTATAGGGCTGCATGTTGACACAGTTTGTAGCACTGCTGTCTTGCAGCAAGAAGGTTCTGGGTTTGATTCTCTGCTCAGGATCTTTCAGCATGGACTTCGCATGTTCTCCCTGTATATGCGTCGGTTCTCTCCGAATTATCCGGCTTCCTCCCACAGTCCAAAAACAAAACTGTTAGGTTAACTGGCTTCTCTAAATTGTCTGTGAATGTGCATGCATAGTTGTGTGTCTCTGTGTTGCCCTGCAACAGACTGGTGACCTGTCATGATGGAATGAGCTGGAGAAGATGGATGGATGGTGATATTCATAAATGTTTTGAGGCTATGCCTTCACTAGAAGAATAAATATGTATATTTTAATAGGTGTTAAGCTCACTTATTTCACTTCTGTGAAAATTGAATTTCTGAGGTGAACCAGTTTTTCCTTTCTTTTTAAAGTGTCTTTTTAAATTGATTTTTCTTTTTCAAGACAGATTTTAGTTTGGTAAACATCTCGGTTCATTATCATCAAGTTCAGCTCCCATGCACAACTTGTGAAGATCAATAACAGCCCACAATCCATAAATATCCCTAGTTAATAAATCAAACACACCTCTTAATGAGAAAATATGAACATTAATCACTAGCTATAATGAGCTAAAGTTTTTAGCTTACTTTGACCTCTAATTGCATGAGAAGAAGCATCTTCTCTGCATCTCATCTCAAAAAGTTGAGATTTAGCTGCAGAAGAAGCTGCAGACTCATCAGCTAGTTGTTACCATCACAACCTTTCATGATAGATGAATGAGATGCAGTTATTACAATGTGACAGATTCCTGGCAGAGGGTGACTGACCTCAGCCAGGGTTTAAAGACATCCAACATTTAATAGCCTTACCATTACCAATCATAAAGAAATATTTCCTTACCATTCTGTGGTTGAGTAGAGACATTTAGCTGGACTTCAGGTTCATTCAGAATCCGTACTTCTGCAAAGATGAAAAAAAAACTTATGAATCAATTAACAAATATCTGAGTTTGCTTTCCTTTTTTGTCCTATCAAAATGTATCCAGTCTTTCGGCACATGTCAGACTATCCTGTTTGATGATGCTGTTAATGTAACCCTCAGGAATAAAAGAAATAGATTACTTCTAATTCATTTCATAAATTGGCAGGATGAAACATCACTAGTTAACTATGGTATAATGTTCATAGGGTTTGCTGGTGAAGCCATCATGCAATGGGCTGTTTCACAGTATTCTGCATTTATTTATAGCTGCATTTATTTACTCACGATATTAACCACACAACAGAATAAAACTAAGAACAGTTGGACAGAAAATGTAAAATACAATAGTTCCATATACCCACAATAGTCGGTTTAGTTTAGTTAAGCAGTGACCAAGTGAGTGAAAAAAAACTGCTAACAGTGCACATTTTATTCGAAGGGGGGCCAGCAAAAAATGAAGGGGCCCACTCGCCCCCTCCCCTCCCTGATTATAATGTGTTCACTAACAACTTTTCTACACAGTTGTGGTGACCTACATATAAGTAAAAAAGTATAACAGTTCTAACTAGGGATGCACGATATAATCGGCCCCCTATCGGTATCGGCCTGTATCGGCCTTAAAACTGAATATCGGATATCGACCACCCCACCGATATTTAACCCGATATTTGATCAGCTTCTGAGTTTCTAAAGTCTAAAAAAAATAAAAATAAAAATACTACTACTTCTTCCTCAAAAACTTCTTTTTTACAGACTTAAAAACTTCTGCAGACGAGGGAAAAAATATTGATACATTAAAATATCACAATATCTTCATATGCTGATATATTGCCATTTAAAAACACCATATCAATCTCTTTTACTAATGAAATATTGCTATATGTCATCGTTATGCTATGAAATCTCCCGAAAATCTACAAAACTTTGTCATATTTTTATATGTTGAGATATTGACGCGGTATCGATCTATTTTACTAACAAAATCTCACAAGAATTTGCAAAATATCACGAGAGTTTGTAACAGAACGATGAAATTTCACGAGATTTTGAAAGTAAAATAGATCGATACCACGTTTTTAAAAATCAATTTGATATCAGCATATGAAAATATATTTGAGTATATTATTTTTCAAAGTGTCAGAAATGGATAACAAAACTGCTATTTTCAATGATACTTATTTTTGTTCAGCTTTAAAATCGGTATCGGTATCGGTTATCGGCTACATGAGCTTTAAAATATCGGCATATCGGATATCGGCCAAAATCCCAATATCGTGCATCCCTAGTTCTAACACTAAATAAAAAACATTTATTTCATCAGCAAGAAATGCTCAATGGATCATTATTTATACCTTAAACTAATACGTTTGCGGTGATTGAATGAATTTGGGGTCAATTAGTGAAAAACTAAAAAGCGGCCATTTTTGCCCATATATAGTGACCCCTCCCTCCTGCCATCTTCCTGCAGTGACGTCACGGTGCGGTAAGCCTAGCGTCATTCACTCCGCTTTACAAGCAAAATCAATGGGAACTACTAGACACATCTGCAATCAACAACAATTATTAGAGATTTCCAGAGGACTTCACCATTGAAATTCACCAGAGCTATAGTTAAACTGACAATGCCCACGTGCATGGCAGTTGGATGTTTGAATACATCATTACATACATTAAAAGCCTTACCATTACCAATCATAAAGAAATATTTCCTTACCATTCTGTGGTTCAGCAGAGACATTTAGCTGGACTTGAGGTTCACTCAGAATCCGTACTTCTGCAAAGATAAAAAAAACCCCAAAAACTTATGAATGAATGAAAAAATATCTGAGTTTGCTTTCCTTTTCAGTCTGTTATGACAACATTTGTAAGATGGTAATGATGTGTAAGACGGAAATCTATGTAACAGGAAGCTAACCTAATCCAAACTATTTGAGTTGAAGAAAAAGATTAACTTCAACAGATTTTTATGATTATATGTAGAAGATGTCAGCTTTCCTAGGATGGTGCAGAAACCCACCTGTTGGAAGACATGTTTCCTTCTTATTAATTTGTATTTATTTATTAGAGTTCTAACTTTATGTTCTCTCTGTTTTGTTAAAATTGGTTCAAGTCATCCTAAGCTTTCTCTACAGGTATGCTGCTATAGGCTTAGGGTGCTGGAGGACAAAGGGACCACTTTTCCTCACTCTACATTATTCTAATTCTGCATTATTTGTTCATTCAAGTTTTAAATTTATGTTCTCTACATCTTTTCTTTTCATAGTAGCTTCACCTGACTCAACACTCTGTTTAGCTGTGATGCCAACTAGTGGGAGGCATCAGCTGGGTTCTGCCATCAACAACTTCCATTAAAGGTTATGACGTGTGCCTGTTTTTTAGTTTATAGTCCTGTTACTTTCCTAGACATAAATATAGGTTTAGCTTTTACTGTGTCTAACTGTATATGCTCTTTTTTATTTATTTATTTTTTTTTTACATGAAAACTGGTTCATAGTTAATCTGCTTAACTGTTTCTTTCTTAACAGAGCTAGCTATGGAGCTAATTTATCGTTACCTTTCTAAGATATGAAAGGTTTATGAATCAGTGCTTCTACGTTCTTCTTGTATGTTTGCTTCTGTCTGCTTAAACCCCCAGTTGGCCTCGGCATAAGGCTGCTCACACTGTGTCTTTCTGCTCCACTATCGCTGCATGCTTGCTCTGTGTAAGGGATTGCTGTTGAGTCAACAACACAGTATACAACTGTTGCTCCATGTTCATCCAGGAGAAGTGAATCCTGCATGGTCAATTAGTGTATGTGGGTACCCTGGTTTCCTTAAAAAACCTTTAACCAGTCTGCATGGATGATCTGATTGAATTGTCTCAATAAAGTGCATGGGGATGATGTATTGTGAATTGGCACTCAATAAATAAACTGGACTATCCTAGTTTTAACAGTTAGCATATGAAGTAGTAAAATGAATCACAGAGTGAGTTGCAAATCTAAGTCCTATCAAAATGAATCCAGTCTTTAGGCACATGTCAGACTAGCCTGTTTGACGATGCCGTTAATGTTACCCTCAGGAATAAAAGAAATAGTTTACTCCTAATTCATTTGATAAATTCAACTGGCAGGATGAAGCATCACTAGTTAACTATTAGACCCCATGAGGGGGCTTCAACATCAACAAAGTTGCTGAAGGTTTCTTTGTTTACTCAGCGGCTGCTAAATTAGGCATTTTTATGGGACCGCCAGAGCATCTCTTTCATACATACTGAGAAGAACGATTGCAGTGTGTCTGCAGCTCTCCCTAAACTTCACGAATCAACCTGGAGAAATACTATCATCTGCTGGAAACACTGTTTTGACAACAAGTATTTAGAGATTTAAGTCAGAGTGATAGGTTACACCATAAAATGCAAAGATCTGACTTTTGTAACTCAGCCCATTCAGCGTGTATTTTATGAGGTACCATTTTTATAATTCAATGAAGTTAGTCGTAAAGTCATTCAGTCAAATTGATTTACAAAGCTTTGCTCTTTGCAAATTACAGCCTTATTTACAGTCTTACAAAGCGAACCTTTTAATTTATTTGCCTGTTGGAGCAGCAGTTTGCTGCTGGAGGCAGATTTTCACAAAACTAAAAACAGACGGTTGAAGCGGACATTCCTTTTTTTAGTTGTACAAACTAATTTGGAGAGCTATAAATAATTGATAAAAGTATTACGAAAAGATACAACCAGAACCAGACATTTCTAATTAGGAGAGAATAACTATTTATAAAAGTAAGTTACGAATCAAAGAATCAAAACCGGTGAGGATTTAATTTTATTTAATTTCATTTATATATCAGAATGTTACCTTTTACAATGTCTGGCTGGACCATGATGGGTTTCCTCACAGTGATCACAGGGGTTTCTGTAGAAACTGTAGGAGCATCTATAAAAAGGAAACAAAAGAAAGCAGAGAGGAACATTTAGGCTTTTTCAAGTTAGTTTCAAAACTCAGAGGCAGTAAATTTGCAGATTATATTAAGCAGTACTCCTTAAATCTATTTAATTCAGTCTACCATCAAGCCGCGGGCCTGAAATGATTGTCCTTTTTAAAAAGAGTGTAAATGTCCAGGACTAATTGATTTTTCTATACAGCAAAGACTGAAATAGTTACAGTTGAGCAACTTGCTTCTTTTATTGTTCAACAATTTCAGTTTGCAAATTGCTTCTCCCTTATGCCTTTAAGTTAAGCGTTATTGAGGCCGCTCCGGTCAGTTAAAAATGATCTAAATCAAAGTGAAAAGTGATTTCGCGCTCAGTTGAAAATTCATCATCAAGTTAATTATCTGAGGTTGAACTGTTTTGATTATGCCGCTTCTCTGAAATGCTGTCACTGTGCTTTTCTGTTAAGAAGAGAAATAAAATCCTTAATTTTCATTCAGCAGCTTTAATTGCAGGGCTGAGATGTAGATTAGAAGCCACCTTTTGAAACATGGTGGACATCTGCATAATATCATGGTCTGACTAATGCTTTGAAGAGCACCTAAGGATGCTGTGTTTGACCGCTGGGTGTGGTCCTGCCTACCTGGGTTCTCACATCTCCTCTGGCATTCGGTCATGCTCCTGAAGTTGTTGGCGTTGCCAAAGCAGCCGCCGTAATAGAACTGCTTGCACTGTTGGGTCGCAGTATCAAAGAAGAAGCGTTTGACCAGACCTCGGCAGGGACCCACAGCCTGCGGTAAATGACATGGGTTCTTGTCCTCTATGGAGAAAAAACAACAACAAAAAAAGTTATTACTAACCTGTCACATAAAAAATGAAAAAAAAATCATCTGTTATTTTACATTTACAATCCAGCAGATGTACGATCCTCCTTTAATCTTAGGTCGGTTAGAATTTGTTAAATTATTATTATTATTTTTTTTTTTTTACCCAAAAAAACAACGGCAAAGTAATGGGGGGACATTTCTCTTCTTTAAAGGCTTCTGTAAAGTCTAATCTTCAATGCATTTCGTATATTTGCCCTCCAAACTGCTGGCCTAAAGTCCAACTTTTTGAGCTTCCTTATGCAAGCTTCCAACAATATAGTACTGGCCATTCATAAGGGTCCTTCCCAGTTAAATGCTAGCTAAATGGCAGTCCACTTCTCTGCAACTCCCAGTGAAATCCTCTCCAACTTCCAGCCACTAGAGAGACCCCCTGTTACATATTTGCTTACACTGACAGAAAGTATTATTTAGTACAAATAGTGATATTTAAAAAGGAATTGTAGGCGACCAGCGTAGGACCCATCAAGGAAAGTGAGAATAATTTTTGAATGGCTACTACACTGCAAAAAAATGGAAATCTAAATAAGTTATTTTTGCTCAGATTAAGTGCATTTTTTCTTGAATTGAGGAGGTAAGTGAAACACTTTGCCAATGGAACAAGACAGTTTACATTTAAAATAAGAATAAAACAACTGCTTTGTCTTATTTCAAGTGTATATTATCTCATTATCTTATTTTAGGAGTAAAAATACTCATTCCATTGGCAGATCATCTTACTTTCCTGCTTAAATTAAGGGTAAATACACTTACTTTAACACATTTTTTACTTATTTCTAGATGGTTTTTGCAGTTTACTCTAATTTACTGGAATTTTGGACCATTCTTCCAGACCATTCTGGTATAAATGGGTCAGGTCTGTTGCCGTCTTGGTTACAAACACATTTTCCTGCTCTGCCAACAAGTGTTGCATGGGAATGAGTTCAAGACTTCACGACTTTAAAACTTTGTTGCCCTTAAAACACTTGACTAATTTTCCGCTATGATCATCATCTAGAAAAGCCAAATAGTTTCCAAGCTTTAAACTTCAAGGCCAATATCTTGAGATGTTGCCAAAACATTTTCTATAACCTTAAAAACCAATGCATCTTATATTATAACATTTCCCTCCCTATTATATCAAAACTTCTTACAAGATGTAGGATTAATTCACATATTTCCAGAACTCATTGATCATGAGAACACCGATCCCATCTATCTGAATGCACTTCCCTGATATCTACATATTTGCATTCTGTTTATACTGATATATATAATAGATAAAAGTGGCACCACAGAAAATTATTAAGAATTACACAGACTTGTAATGAGCCAATATATATATTTTTTTTTTTTACTGAAATCTCTTTTTTGTGGTCTTTTATGATCTCAAACTAAATTGTGAATTTATTAGAGGTTTCAAAAACTTGATATAATCTTCCAGACTTTCCCAAATGATTTAATGAAAGAGTAAATAGTATAAACTTTTGAATTTGAGGAAATAATTAAAATGTTTTCTAAAGAAACAAGATCTCAACATTCAGACATTTAGCAAAAAGAAATACATTTGCTAATCCTACATGACTGACAGAGGAAACATTTTGTCTAAAGTTAATGTGTAAATGTTGTTTTTTTGCAGTTTAAGTAAATATCTGGTTCATAACTGTAAAAAAAAAAAAGCAGTAGTGTTTTAGGGGTTGCGTTGCTTTATGTCTGGACCACAGGACAGCAGGCTGTGATTCATCAACTAAAAGGCCGGCAAAAGGAGTGGCCTTTTTTCTAAAGTACCAACGTCCCTTCCAAACTCTCAATGAGCCAACATCCAGGAATGTATCACAGCTGTGCACCTTCTGTTTGCTAATCTGTTTAACAGCCACAATGCGCCGAGGGGCGACCACCATTAAAACACTATCGCTGTAAAATCAAAATGCATTTCATGAGGTGACTTTGGCTCAAAGCACTGGGCAAACAGATGTGTGAGAAGACTGCAACATCATGGTGTTTCTCAAGAGCAATGCAGCAATGAATTATTCAGAAAATGTTATTATCTCTTTAAGCTGTGAAGGTGGAAGATGTGTGCGAGTGAAGAATTATCCGTCAGCTTTTTGCTAACGCTGGGTGTGAATCACAGAGGGCATCAGTCCAGGTAGTTTTGGCAGCTCACCAAAGAGAACCTCAGTCTGACAGCGAATCATTAATGAGGACAAGTCCAGATAATTTCTTTAATGACAGAAAACAGTTGGTTTCATTTTAATACTCATCCTCTAAGAAAGATTGTATTTGGATGCATGAACATTAACAGTTCCCTACATCACTAAACAAATGAAAAAAAAAAGAAAACATTTAGAGGATTATGGTAAAACTGGTCACTGGAGAGGGAATGTCTATTATAATAAACACAACTTTTAGTTCCATGATTTATGCAGTAATTAGATAATTGATTTATTGTTTTAGGACAGATGTGTGTTTGTGTGTGTCACTCTTTTAAAAATGAAATATATCTGCACAGATGTGCAAATTCCCGGAAGAAATAAGAGAAATTAATTAGCAATTAAAATAAACTATATTCTGCATGGACTTGTGATCCGTGCAGTTTGTACCTTGCTGCTGGAAACACCTGTAAAGAGATGGAAGGATGGAAATGTTTCCCCTTTTTTGACTTTTTAAGATTGTGTTTCAATTTCTTTTAGAAAATCCCTTTTCTCTTTTTGTGTTTAAACTGAATAAATGCTTTAAACAGATGTTTTTTTCTTATTTGAAGCTAGCAAGTGAGCTTTTCTTTGATATTGTGCAGAGGCTGAAGAACAAGAAAGTATTAAAAATAGGAACTCAAAAAAAAAAAAGGATAATCGATTTATTTTAAGATGTTATAAGTTGCTGTGGGTTTATTCGGTACAGTAGCCAATGCTTACTGCATTCTGTTTAAAAACAGCAGCGTGCAAATGTACTGCTTCATCTATTCTTCTAAAACACCACACGTAGCTGGGCAGGTAGTTACAAAATAATGATTTATAAAGACTGAGAGCTAATGAGGCCTTTAGGCCATTGATTCCTGAAAATTAGGGGGGGCCCTGAGTTGGTCATTTTGATTATAAGTACTCCCTTTGTAAATTGTCCCTGTCTCTGAATAACATTTATTTATAATATACTTTCCATTAGAAATTCAATCTGATTTACATTTATTCAAAAGATTTTGAGAAAATTTCAATATGTAAACATTTGTTTTAAAAAATGATTTTATTCAGGCTGCATGGTGGAAGGCATCTGTGGATTGAGTGTGCATGTGTAGTGTGTGTGTGTGTGTGTGTGTGTGTGCATTGTTGTGTATCTCTGTGCTGCCCTGCATGGATTAGCGACCAGTTCAGGGCATACGCTGATGTTGCCTGTATGCTGCTAGAGATACATAGACAGCAGCCCCTTCATGATGAATGGATAAATGGATTTTATTTCATTTCCAGTTGGTATGTAAACAAATAATCAACTTATGGTTAACTGTGATTTAATGGTTTATTCAAATTATTTTCTTTCTTATTTTATTGATTGAATAATTACTGTTGGTTCTTAGTTGGAACCCCACTTACATTTGGGAAGAGAACCATTGCCAGAGCGGAGGAATACTAGGGCAGAAATATGAATCGACTCCAGCCCAGAATTTTTTTTGCAATATTTAATAGCGATATATACTTTTACACTACTGTACAGTGGATTGGAAATATTTCATATATTTCATTAATCCTTTAAATAATTTAATTCATAACCTAATAGTCTTTCTGTTTTGTTATATGTTGTAAAAAAGTTGAATAATTTGTAAGAAAACATGTTTTTATTTATTTAATAAATGTTTAATACAGCTGGTACAATAGTGTTAATATATAAAGATTGACTTTTTTTAAATTCTGCATATTGTGAAAAAAATATTTAGCCCTTTAGGCTATTAACAGATCGTCTTTATCCCAGAGAAAAATCTGATTTTTAAACCTAATTAATCATTAGCTTTTGATTAATGAATTAAATCTAACTTGTATCCCTAATATTAAATGTCCATTAGTCTACATTTGTTACAAAAACTGTTACAAAAATTTTTTTAACATTTATGTTTTGTTTGTCAGGGAACGGAATAAAAGTGGCTGGGATACATTTTATACTATAGGAGGATTTATACAGGAGGTAGAAACTCTAATTTAATGCTTTTTAATGATAATTTTAATAATTTTAATGCCATCAATAATTACTTACACATTAATTACCCATAATTAATTACCCATTACTCTCATATATGTATATAGTTGAAATATATATATATATATATATATATATATATATATATATATATATATATATATATATATATATATATATATACATATTTCAACTCGTTTTCCAGCCACTTATGTTAAAATTTGCATTTTCCCATTCTCTAGCTTTAGGATCAACCAGGAGCAGTTCCACGCAAACACGTGGAAACAGTTAAATCTGATATAATTGACAAAATTATTATATAGGCCTTAATTTAAAAATAATAAGTTAATGAGTTTTTAATGATTTTTAATGACCTGCAGAAACCCTGTATAGATACAATAGGCTTCATTTTGCTGGTGGCAGAAAGAACTTTATGCTATTAATGTTTTGTTCCTTACAATATAAACCATGAGCTCTACGTTACGGTAATTAGACATCTTTGAGTGTTACAGCTGAAAGCAGAAAAGGAGTCTGAAATTTTTGTGTTTCCATCCTTTTTAGTGCTGCTCAGCTTTAGTGGAAGGAGCAGACCAGTTTTAACTTTTGTAGCTTTGACTGATTTTCTGTCCTGAAGCTTTATTTTACCGAATGTTAATAATTCAGCTTTCAAAGAAAAGCTGACAGACAGTAATGCCATGGCTTCAAGGCTGTCAGAGTGTCAAGGCTGCTCTTAGCTGAACTCAGTCTGATTTCACTACCCACTGGATGAATAGTAAACAGTGGTAAGTTCTAGATTTATTTGCATTTATTTACTTATATAAACCACTAAGAAAAGGTCAAAAATGCAAACTTCTTTCAAGGTTCTGTTTTTGGGACCAAAAAACACATTGAGAAGGCAGACCTGATAAGGTTGGAGGCCGTTCATTAATAGAGATCTCCAAAAGCAGACATACCTGCTAGAGAGGATGTAGAAGGAAAAGCAAGCAGGTGTACAATTAATGAGATATGAGGAGGAAAACAGATCTGACAAAGAAAGAAAGTACAGTGAGAGTAAAAATACTGAAGAGGATGAGAGAACAGGCGAGTCTAATTATATTCATGACTGTGGATGATCTGAAGAGCAGAAAAAACTAATGAGTGAAAAATTAAACAGAAAGATGAGAGAAACTAACAAAATACAGATTAAGCAAAAAGGAATTCAGAAATCAACTCATTGATTCGAATGCAATCCCTCACACCAAGCATGCTTGTAGTGACAGTGGAGAGGAAAAACTCCCTTATAACAGGAAGACACCTCAAGCAGAACCAGACTCAGTGGGAGTGGCCATCTGCTGAGGATGCCTTCACTTCACAAGCAGCAGAAGTGGTGGAGTTGAAAAATTAAAATTTTGCTGCTGGACGCGCCACATCAACCAATGAGAGAAGCTGATCAGGGAGCTGGCAGGGAGACGGACACAGCACTGCTGATGCCGAGAACTATGATCACTAAATTGAAACAGTTTATCAATGCCTAAATTAACTTATATTATATTGAAACCTGTCGGCAAATTATGTTCGCTTTTATTGTTCTGGAGCCTACAGTTTGTACCACACACTTAAAAAACGCTAACATCTATTTCCAGCTGCGACAAACAGTAGAGGAAATGCCTCTGCTGCTGCAGGGAATTCACAAAGATAGTGCACCACCAGTATGTGGGGATCTATGCACCTCAGACAGAAAAATAATATTTTAAGGCAGGATCGAAATCTTGATGAACTGACTGCAAAGATGATGTTTTGAGGTGTACCTACATGCTTTTACCAGCATATCACAGCAAAAATAGCAAAGCCACTCTCACCATTGATCACAGGAGCAGAAGAAGCATTAGGAAACATTTTACTGGACGCCCTTCAAGAGCGTTAAAGATGCTCTTGATGCGCATCTGACCTTAATGTGTAAAAGCTTCAAAAATGAAGCAGCATTTTGCTGCATTTTGCTGCCCAAAGTGCGTCCAGGTGTTAACGTAGCATTAAAGGTAAAGGCTATACAACAAGCAGCTTGCTGTTTCTTTGACTACAAATGCAAATATATTATTCAAACCTGGCTGCAAGAGGAACATTGATGACAAATCTAAGAGATGGATAGTATGAATGCTAATTAAAGAACCCATGGAAACGAGATTAAAAGTGAACTATCACTCCCTTAGCCGTGGAGTGATAGTGCCCAAAGAAAATAATCAAAATTGTTAACTGACAGCTCCAAGATGTTTTAAAATTGTTGAAACTCTCTAACAAAGCACATGCATAGTTTTTCTAGCCTAAAAAGCTTTCATAATTTGTGACCCCGTACCATACCGCAGCAGACATATTTTTCATAGCAGGAGCCTCAGGGATCATAGGAACACTGTTACATCTCAGCTACAGACACTTAATTTTCAAAAACCTGAACTATCCCTTTCAGAATGAATCCCAGTTCCTTCCTTCTGGATTGAGATATTATTTTTTCCAAACTGTAGAACAAATCATACCTTTCCAACTCATGTATGTATGTATGATATGGGTTAATCCAAGTCTGCTTCCTGTTTTGTTCGTGGGCTTGTTTTCCTACTGGACTGTAAAAAAATATCCTCACTGGGATAATAAAGATGTTTGAATTAAGTGGTCTGTGCAGAGAGAAGGTCTATATAACAGACCAACACTTGCCTTTAGGTCCTCTCAGCTTTCTTTGTCAAACATGAGATTTCTTTGTTTTGTTTATGCCTGCAAAAAGTGTTGAAATCGAGCTGGAGCTTTTGTTGTGGGCTGGAGTACCCACGGAGCTCAGTCACGCCATGTCAGACCAAAGAAACACAGATATATCACAGTAGCATGCTGTAACTTGTGGCTTTCAGCATGAATGGGAGGAGAACAGGTGAGTAAAATTTTCCATCGGCAGCACAAAAAAACAAAAGAACAAAAAACACATTGCATCATATAGTCTCCATATTTCACAGTCGGAGAATATCTTCATGAAAGTGGCTTTAAACTTTTACTGTTTTGCTGATACAGCTGATCTAGTGAATGGATCATGGATGCATGCACAAGCTGCAACCAAATGTGTATCATCTTTTGTATGGAGTTTGTCCCCATTTTGCCACCCAACTGGTCTGGGCAAGACCGTGTAAGTACTACTGACTTACCTGTTTAGCTGTTTTTAATGTGACAGAGAAGTCAAGGTAAGGCTTTCACATCTAGGCTGCTTAAGAGCTAAAAGCTGTCACCTACGGTAGTGGAAGCATCATGCTGTGGGTCTTAAATAATTACAGATGCAGTGCGGAGTGACGATGAAGCGCAACTATATTTAAAATTATTTGATATTCATCTTTATAACGTCAGACCAGCTGTACGTTGAATGGTATACTGTCCTGTAGAAAGGTAGTAAAAAAAAAGAACATAAAAGCAAATAATTTTTATAATATTTTTACTTTTAATAATGAATTTCACCAATATCCAACTCGTAGTAGTTGTCTTATCAGGCCTCCTTACTCTAGTACAACTCAAACACAGTTTAGTGTATTATACAGAGGATCAAGGATATGGAACAGTCTTCCCACATCACTGACAGATCTTTCTAAAGAACAATTTAAAAAGAGAGTAAAATTGCTGCTACTAAGTTGTCTAAACTTTCCATATGGATTTGTGGTTTAAATGATATGTTAAATTCTTTTATACAAAGAAATGCTGTTTTGTTTTTTTGTTTTTTCTACACAATATCATATAGATGTCTGAAATGGTGAAATATATTTGTTTTTATGGAGACTGCCACTCGGCAGTTGTCCATCACATTTTCTTTTTTAGTGAAACATTATTCTATTTTTATTTTCTTTAAAGAATGATGAAACTTTTATGATTAAAAGCAAAGGTCTGATTCTAACAAAAACATCTGGAAATGGGTGTTCTCATAAAAATCAAGTTAAAGTAATGTGGTGAATTCACCTATAATTGTCCAAAATTTCACGAATATCAGAGGCTTGTTAAATAGAAATCTGTATAATTTGCGGTTTTGTAACGCAAAAAAAAAAATCCATAAAATTAAGCACTCTGACATAAATCATAAAAACAAGAATAGAAATTCTTTCCCTATTCTCCAGGTTAGTGCTTGTTATCTATAAATATCAGGTGAGTTTCCTGGCTGCCTTAGATGGCCTTAGAGGCCTTCAGCAAAAGTATTGAGAAATCAGAGATGGCAATTATCTGTGTTCTCTACAAATCATGAAATGACTTATAAGACTTTCTGCCCCAGGCAGTGAAAAAGTCATATAAACATTGTTTATGATACAAAGTCATACTACCTTATAATATTACTTAAAATAAGATGATGCTGATTGACGAGGCCTTGATATACATTGTTTGATCTAAAAGATTCCTTAGAAACAATGATAAGAAGAAGCTGAACTTTAGGCTGACTCACTTGAGACGACGCAAGCCTCTTCGCATTCTTCCAACGTCTCGAAGTTGTTGGCGTTCCCTTGACAGCCTCCGTACTCAAAGAGCTCACAGCCTCCTGAGTTGACATCGAAAAAGTATCTTTGCTTGAGAGCCTTGCACGGCCCGGACTCATCTTTCAGGGCGCAGAGCTCGTTGAAGATGATTGGGTCAGGGTTCCCTCCATGATCTGTAGAATAAAATAGATCAACCTTTAAAGCCAAAATGGTTACAGAGTATCTGTTTAGGTTGAAACAGATGTGTTTCCTCAGAGTTTATTTCAACACTGCATTTTTATATATTTTTTTGTCAATGAAACTCTTAATTGAAACTAGTGTTGCGCCAATGCCATTTTTTGGCCTCGATGCGATACCCGATACCTGGCTGTGCAGTATGGCCAAAACCGATACCATACCGATGGCATCTGTTTGAAATTGCTGTGTGTGTGTATATATATATATGAAGAACTGCATACTACTTGGACGTAAAATAATTACCATCATGGCTTTGTCAAGCTGCTGCCTACCTTTGTGAAGCAGGAAGAAGACTAATACAAAGTGAAGCCAGTAGAACTTTTTATTGCCTACCTGGAATGGGTGACAATAGTTGATTAAACTTTTGGCTCTCAAAATGGTATCATTGCCCTATATGTTGGTACTCGCCAATAACGATACCACCATTTTAGTGCTATACCGGGGCCCCGCCCGATACTGGTATAGGTATCAGTGCAACACTAATTGAAACATCTACAGGTTTATACTTAGGGCTGGGGAAAAAAAACAAAGTTTTGTTTGAAATCAATCCCAGTTGGATTTTTGTTGAATTAGCATCACCCTGAATATGAATTCTGACCTGTCTTCCTTTAATTAAAATTTAATAAAACCAACAGATTTTGTGAGTCATTTTTATCAGTAAATGGTATACAGCAGTAGTCATTCAATGTTTCCCCACTTTCCTTGATGGGCCCTTGGCTGGTCCCCTACAATTCCTCTTTAAACATCAATATTTGTACTAAAATAGTCTTTCTGTTATTATTAGTGGACAATAAGATTTAAAAAGAAAAGCCATCTCCTGGTCAGACCCTGTAAATAAGTAAAAAAAAATATGAAAGAAGGGGTCACTCGAATGGCTGGAAGTTGGAGGGGATTTTCGCTGGAATTTGGAGGGAAGTTGGCTGCCATTTGGTTGGCATTTCAATGGGAAGGGCCACTTTGTGTGTGTGATGTCACCTCACTATAAATTAAGCTGTTCTGTGAAATGCTTTAGAGAATATCAAGCATCATGAAGACAAAGGAACCATGTAGACAAGGAGGAAGTTCTGGGAAGTGGAAAAACAGGGTTAATTCTAAGAATATACCCCTATCTTTCAGCTAAACTGACAGGCTTGACAACGACAGCGTCAGACTGTGGAGGACCTGAAGAATATATATATATATATTATGTGGGAGAAACAGTCTACATTGGAGGCTGTGCAGTCCACAAGGCTGGACTTTTTGATTACGGTATCATGTCTGGAAACCGCAGACTGGCTAACCAGGAAACATTTCAAAGGAAGTGTTCTTCCTCCTTTTCTATATTTAGAAGAAAAGAAAGACATTTCCAAAACGAGTGTTTGGCCAATATAAAACCACTCTTTGTGAAGGAAAGTTAAAAGTACCCACCACCCTTTAACACACCACCCAATCCGACAGACATGGTGGTGATGCGTATAATAAAATGGCCAGTCAAAGTTCTCACCTACAACAAATAAAAAAAAAACTTTGGCAGGACCTATAAAAAAAATTATGATCACAGAAACTCAACCTGCCCCTGAGTTCTGTGAGGAAGAATAAACAAAGATGGAGTTTATAGATGTTCAGAACTGGAGGAGATAAACTCCAAAAGACCCGAATCTTAAACTGCTCCTAAAGGTGGTTCTACAAAGTACTGAGGCAAGAGAATCAGAGCAGACCACAATTTCTGATTTCAAGCAACGAAATGAGAAAAAGAATAAATGCAGAGTTTGGTTAAGATTATAAAGCGATACATGCACAAAGCTGTTTTACATTCTCTCTCTTTAAGAAAGCTTTAATAATCTTTTTTGCTGTGGCAGAAATTAGGTCAAATAATCTGAGTCTACCCTCAGGCTGTGAGATAAAATGAAGCTGAATGTAATTTTTTTAATAACTTGAAACATTATGACAGCTTTCTGTGTTTTCTAATAGAGCTGCAGAGGGATCGTGCTACTGTGGAGCTGATTGACCTCCCTGAGTAAACAGTACCTTTACTCCAACACTAAATAACCTCAGATCTTTATTGGATTTCACTAAATTAAATAAAACTCTGAGTGCAATTAGCTAGTTTTAGATTTGTTTACCTATTTGAAATTGTGCTGGAAATCATAACTAGCTTTGGTTGGAAGATGGATCCAGGTAGGAGGAAGCGGCAGGCTAAAAAAATCTCGAATCTCACAGTGTGCCGCCTGCAATGACACGTTAAACTGCAGCAAATCGGTTTATTCGCAAAAAATGAGAAGCTGGATCTGCACTGCCTGTGGATAAAGGTCCCTGATATCAAAATCCAGTTTCATGTGTTTTCGGCTGAAACTCAAGAGATTTTATCAGTGAAGCTCTGCAAACCTGCAGCCCTCTAATGTCATTATCTGTTTATGAAAGCTGGCTTCTTCACATGCAGGAAGGAGGGCCCAAGCTCTACAAACAGCCGGCAAAAAACGTTAAATCGGTTGTCTCAGCGTGCAGCCGGGGAAACATCTTTCTGTGCCCTCATCTCTGCTGTTTCCAGGTCTGTTCATTGCTCTGCTGCATGGTGAGCTGCACATCATCAAAGCAATGTGTTCGTCATTTAAACATCTTTCTTTCAAACCACGATAGTGTTAAATGCTACAGATAATATTACTCATGATGTTTTCTCTTCTTTCATTTTTTGTTGTCTGATAACATATTTATGCATGACATAAATACCTCCAAGATGAGTCGGGTTTGACATCCATGCAAATTGTTGGAGGGTGTGTAAAAAGATATCATTTCATGCCGTTCAAAGGGCAAAAGGTGTAGATTTAACTGTTTTTGTTTTGTTTTTGTTTTTTTTATATTTTGAAGTTGAAACTGATTACTATCAACAGGGGGGGGTGATGTTCCTTTATAACCCAAATGCAGAGATTAGTTCTTGTAATTTTAACGAAGCAAAAACCCAAAATCCAAACAAGAATCAAAAATGAACAAACATCAGGGAAAAACTCAAGTGGGGAGCCAGAGATGAGGAAGCAACAAACAATAACGAAGAACCAGAACTGAGTAAAAATAAGGGGAACAGAACAAAGGATGGGCTAATAAGCTGAATATGGGGCAGGTGTGAGTGGAACTAACTAGATGGAAGCCTAGGTGAAAGGAAACAGGCACAAGGGGGCAACAGAGAGTAACTAAAGACTGCTTAAATATAATGGAAAATAAGCCAAAAATAAACAAAACAGAATAACTGATAACTGAGTCCCAAAAGGGGGGAACCATAACAATTACAAGACTCTTTCACAGACTTGAGCTGATTTCTTTCTTCTTTTACACTACTACCTGATTATTAAATTTAAATAAATTAAATTATCAGAAAAAAGCCCCAAATCTCATAGGATCAACAAGTTTTGAGTCAATAGTTAGGATCTTTAAACTCTTTGATAACAGCAGCCTATCAGAGAACAGAGATGAGTTTCATGAATGTTAGTGGGATTGTGTGTGTTTTTTTTTTTTTTTGCAGATAGAAGAAACGTCAACAATTCATTCCAAGGATCCCACATGACTCTGTTGTTCTGACTGGTGTAGAAACTGCTTTTTTCGACCCTGGTTAACTGTAAGCAACAAACATCAATGTTTTTCGTCACAGGGAGTAGGACTGGACCCAAATCAACAAATCAATCTGTTCCTGTAGACAGCACCAATGCTCTGCGCTGGCACGGGGAGGGAAACAATCAGACATTTTGTTCTCCATGAATGAAACAAGTCCAGAAACAGCTACAGTTCATAGAAATGTGTTTAAACAACAGTAAATATTTCAGATAGGAAAATAATTTGATGTTTTCACCTATGACATTTTGGTTTTGGCCTTTTGACATGACATTGAAGATGATTTGGTTTAGCTGATAATTAAATGATCTTTTTAAATAAAAGAGTAAACCCTTTTATAAATCTGTTCTGTTGTATTGTTGCTATTAATTTGTTCACAATGTTGTTAATTAGGTTTTTAATGCAAATGTGTGTTTTTTGGTAAAAAAAAAAAAAAATTACCTAGAACATCTGGTTTACAAAAGTTCTGCACTGAGATATAAGGTTCAGGATAATCACTGAATCAGGCAACTCAACTTTTTCTTAAAGAAATCTCAATGACAGCATTAGGTTGCCACCAGTGCAGAGCTATCTCTAGATTGGCAGCAAGATCCAGGATTGGACTGCAGAAGATGGGTAAACTTCTTCTGGAAAATCCAACTTCAGGTTACTTGGGCTGCGGAAAAACTGCCACGAATAAATGGTGGTACCAAAATGTACTCCAATAGCAACTTCTAGAATCCAGAAACAGTTCGGTGATGAGCAGCACTGGGTCAGAAAGTTATAAATAAATAAGAAATCAAATCTAAGAGCAGTGAAATTAAAGGGTCTATGGACAGATCATTTTCCAAGTTTTAATCCAATGAAGAATCAGTGCATTATTCAACAATAACAATGAATCCAGTAAAATACTGAACAAAAGGCAGTCCTACAACCTTCAGCCACAAAAGCAACTCCAAGACCTGCACCGAGAAGCCAGATTAAAAGGTAATTGTTGGTGGAACAAATGGTTCATCCTCCATGGGTAACTGCATGTGGGATTTCTTTATGGGGTAAAAATTATCCCAGAAAGGTAAGGAATCAGCTCACAGCTGCACAGGAAGTGAGTTATGATGATCTGAAAGCTGTAGGGCCCACAGTCATCAAGAACATTATTGATAACACTAAAATGTCTGAAACCGTCCAACACCAACAGAAGATACATGTGGAAGGAGCTAATAAACATCCGAATGGTGTGTAGAGGTTTGAGTAAAATGACTGCAGTCAAAATCAACTTCACCTAGACTAAAGTGTTGATTTATGAATTAACATGCTTAATATGATCCAAACGGTAATCGTGTCATTATGGGCTTTTTTTTTTTACTAAGGTTACAGAAAA